GGGTGGTATAACCGCGAATTCACAGACTTCACCACTATCTCTGGAACCGGCGCTTCCAATGGGATGAATTCTCCCCATTTCTGAAAAAATATTATTGCAGATATTAGTTTTCCTCAGCTGAACTCAAGAGTTTCTTCACTGGAGTTTCACCCTAGTGATATGAAACACTAGCGAGAATATTGTGTTTTTCACAGTGTATTACGCCACCTCACGTAAAACGGGTGATCGTGAAACTCCATCTTAGTATACAACCACCAACAACAATTCTCATATTTTCCCACCACATCTCGTAGAATAAAACTCAGGTGCTTCTCCCAACAACACTGCTGCCTCGGTCGCATATGCACCCGCACTCCTTCAGCTATCCGCGACCGCAAAACCGAACTCCACATATATCGATCCGCGCAAGCTATCGATCCTGGTACCTAAGCCTGGCAGTACAGGAATATATGTTTGCTTTCCTCAACTGAGCTCGTAGGTTTCCTCACTATTTTATGAAAAATCACACGATTTCGGGTATAAGTATACAAAAATCAACGATAATTTCCTCTCAAAATTCCCATATTCCTAGCAACACATGTAGTTGACCATGTGCATATATTCCTCCCACTGGACCCCCCTTTCATCACCATTATGAGATCGATCTCACTTGGCTCGTCACAATACATTCCACTCCTCCTCTGATGATAGACAGCGACGGAGCTGGTGGAGTCTGTGCGAACGCTGGGTGCTTCGGTGGTACAGATACAGTCGAGAATATTCCCTACCACACATCGCCCTCTTCTTATGAGATCTATCAATGATAGCTCACTTCAAGTTCCCGTAGTAGAGCCCGTTCGAGCCCAACTGCAGTACTAACTATGAAGCTTCTTACTGGTAGATACGGGTTCACCCCTAGAGAGCTCATCATAGCCCTGACCAAGACAACTGAAAATTACCCCCGGAGAAAATTGAGGCAACACAAAAATGTCAAACAGGGTTATCAGAAGTGTAAAAGGTGTAATAATAATCACATATTCTCAGAGAATGCGGAAGCACCTCTCAAGGGTTGGGGGGTGACGACGGCGGCCAGTCGTAGATTTCTTTCTTCCACTCCGGACTCAGCTCCGACCACCTAAACCGATGAACTATCATCATAATGTTCATTCCTACTACTCGGCAATGATCACTCCCAAGATTGGATTTCACGCCACGTGAGATCGATCTTTTGTAAAATATTGTCCGAAATGAACAGAGAAAACCGAAATGACAATACGATAGATAATTTTGCGTAGATTCAGAGTCTGTACTTCTTACGGATGCGAAACTCGATCCTAGGAGCATTCGTGGAACTCAGAAGAGGTTTAATGGAGTTTCACGACTACCCGTTTTACGTGAAGTGGCGTAACACTCTGTGAAAAACGCGAT